TTTTTTTTTTTGAATTGCGCAAAACTGATTCTGTGTAGCACCAAATGCTCTTTCAGCGTTATAGCTAACGGTCTTGACTATTTAGGAAGAAGAAATTAATAAATTGATGCTATCTTTACCTAAGACGCGACTTAGTTTTATTGACGTTTCAAGCTTTCATGGAATTGATTGTGTCAGCACGGATTATGTTTTAGCTGTTGAAGGCATTGTTGGATGTTTAAATGGAAAGCTTCACTTTCCTAATTTGATGTCTCTCACAGCCTTCACTCCCTCTTTCTCTTTTCATATTAGTCTCCTACTCTTTTACTGGACGAGTTGCACCGGCGAAAATTTCGGCTGGTTTCGAAACAATTTGTTTTACGCTAAGGAGCAGTGGTGCGTGTCATTACTTGTGAGTATCAGCAAAAACTCACCGCACAAGCGGCCATATGGGCCGCGAGATTATCATTGCAGCGCGTGGGTGCGAAGGACTCGTCCCAGCATTGTAGACTTTGTTGAGGGATCGTGGTTCAACTCAGAGATCCAGGCCCCTTAGGGAAGTATCATAAGGATATGTTACAATCCCTGAAGAAAACATTAGTTGCTTTTTTCGTTTAGGGGCTTAACAATAATAACACTACGACAATCTATCTTTTTGTAGTTAGTACATAGAGTTATGTCCACTTTACTGTTCATTGCCATATGGAGGAAAGTAACTAGGTGATTTGTTTGCAACATCGTTGTCGTGTTTTCCTTTTTCTCTTCTGAATGAAGAGAAATGAGGAAAACATGAATGAATAGGAATACTTCAGAAGATTCTGTTTGTCATTCTATTTTTTGAGAATTATAGAGAGCAAGCATCGTAGTACGCCTCATTTCTTCGTTTAAATCGTTCAAAATGTTTGCGGGCTCAAAGCGTTTGAATCTATTGCCTTGCATGAGTCTGCACGATGCGTGCTCTGCTGTCCGAGCTGTTCGACCCACTAACCGCGGTTTGCCGAGCGCGATGCTTGTGTTATTGTTACTTGGGGAGAGACGCCAAAGAAAATCATTGATGCATCCCGTCCTTTTTTACCGAGAAGGAGACCAAAATTTATCCGGCATTTCCACGCTAATTGATGTTTTTATTTGTGTTCAGCGCCTGAAATGGTACAAAAGGATGAAGGACGCGAGCAAATTTGTTCACACCTTTGACCCTTTTGCTTGAAGATATCGTATTTGGCTCAATAAGATACAAAAAACAATTGCGCTTTTAACTCCCTTTGCTGCAGAAACTGAGCTGCGGTTTTATAGGCAAGATTCCTGCTCGGCTGATGGTTACACAACATCAGTGTATACCTTGTCAATCTCCTCTGCCACATATGACAATCATCGACCTTGGTACTTGGAGGAATGCCCATCATCAATTGCTACCACCTACAGTTCAGCAAACATCAACCAGCCAGCTATTGTACATTTTCGTCTTCTTTTTTTT